AGACCCTACGCCCAATAGATTTCATCTCAATTTTCAGGAACGAGTGACTCCTATCAATAGGAGACACCAAAACTCGATAGTGTATTTTTTCTAAATTTGACAGGCCTAAGAACACTGCATTAACCCTTGGCACCCTGAAATCGCTAAGCATATCCTCTATGCTTTCCCCAGGGTTATGAAAGGGGGAATATCTTTGATAATCTAACGCTTCTTTAGTTGGCTATCTCATTTCGTTACCCTCATAACCCGAATTTATGTCTTAGAGGTAATACTGTATGGAGAACTTAGATGCAAGTCAACGTTAGGGGATATAAGGTTAAATGACCAACAGATGGTGTACTCTTGCAGACCAGCTATCGACCTCTTAAAACACCTTGAAAAGGCTACAGGCCTTTATGGGTATCGTAGAGCATCAGGTTCAAAACTTGTTGAAGTAATCTTTGCTATTGTTGATTTTCTTTTCGTTTGTTTGTTTTTGATCGAGTGTATTTCCCAGGCTTTTTGTCGTGACTGCTCATGTTCCAAATCATCTCCAGATTTCTGAAAATGAAACTTTTACATGAACGTTTTACTTACAGTTTCCTGGCCCGTCCGGTGCGCAAATTGAGGCGCTGACGGAGCAGTTTTTCAATGTCATATCAGACGGGCCGATGCCAGGGATCGTTGTTTTAATTTCCACGGTCATACACCTATCATAAGCAACAGGACACTCCAGGACTTCTGGTTCTGTGCATTTTTTACCCAGATATCCAGTTTCCGCTGGTAAATTGCTGCATACGTCACACTTAATTGCAAATGTCATCAAGTGATGTAAGACGATGAGGCCCTAAGAGGTCCCTGTTATTTCATAAAAATCGTCATCAGATCAATTGAAGTTTTTCGACAGAGGATAAACGTAGCAAAATAAAATTTTTTCTGGTCTGTTGAGGAGGGAGGGAAAACGAAGAGGGGGGGCATATCAGAACCAACACTTCAGTTTCTGAGGTCCATGTTTTATTTTAAACATTCCTGTGTATAATCCTAGTCCTTTTCTACGACTATCGATCTCTTTAAAAAGGGATTTTGTTCCTTTACTAGCAATATTGCAATGTTTGAGTTAACCAATTACATTTCTTAAGTTTGGTGTTTTGCTCTTTTCTACGGTAGAAAATAGAAACCTTCTGTTCTGACTTATAGCTTCCAGAACCGTACTGATGTTGACGTATTTTTTATCTCGCCGAATTTGTTGACTTGCG